TACATATTCTAGAGGAATTGTACAAAGCCTAATAAAGCTAAGGCATGACTGCCGAATTATAAAAAAAAAAAAAAAAAGATGGCTTTCTAAAAATAGTTAGATCTATTCTGTCCCAAAACCCCAAACTAATATTGTATAACTTTAAGCAAAGATTTCTCAATGAATATCTAACCAAAATTGATAAAAATTTTTTAATTTTAATTCTACATGTTTGTAAATAGAAATAAAAACAAATTTATCAAATTTGGTTATATAGTCACTGTAAAATATTTATTTATTGTTTAAAAAAAATTTGTCACAGCTTCTTTTTTATAGGCACTAAAACTTTGAGTAAAGTTTTCTTGATGAATATCTAACCAAATTCTATAAAATTTTTTTTATTTTGATTACAGTCAGACCTCCCTAAATGCATATCTATGTAAATGCATGCCTTTTTTTTGGCCCAAATAGATTTTTACTTCTCTAAATGCATAACTTCTCTAAATGCATGTTTTTAAAAATTTTTACTATGGTCCCAACGCTATGCATTTAGAGAGGGTTGACTATATATAGAAATACAGAATTAAAAATAAAAAAATTCATAGAATTTGATTAGATATTCATCGAGAACACTTCGCTTAAAGTTTTGGCTCCTATAAAGAAGAAGCTGCGACAAATTTTTTTTTAAACTTTAAATAAATATTTCACAGTGACTACATAACCAAATTCAATATTTTTTTTTTTTATTTCGATTCTACAAACACGAAGAATTATAATAAAAAATTTTCATCGAATTTGATCATGTTTTTACCAAGTTAAAGTTAAAAAGAAATTTATTCTTCTTTTTCTTGGACTCAAAAAATTTTTTTTAAGCTTTAAACTGAAATTTCTCGATGAAGACATTATCAAATTTGTTAAATATTTTTTTTATTTTAATTCTACATGTTTGAAGAATCGAAATAAAAAAATATTATCAAATTTGGTCATGTAGTTACTGAGAAATATTTATTTAATTTTTTAAAAAAAATTTGCCGCAGCTTTTTTTTATTGATACTAAAATTTTAATTTTTTTTTATTTTAATTTTGTAATCCTATATAATTAAAATAAAAAAAGTTTCATTGAATTTGGTTTGATATTCATCAAGAAAACTTTGCTTAAAATTTTAGTGCCAATAAAAAAGAAGCTGCGGCAAATTTTTTTTTAAACAATAAAAAACATTTTTCAGCAACTACACAACCAAGTTTGATAAACTTTATTTATTTTGATTCTATAAACTCGTAGAATGAAAGTAAAAAAATTTTCATCAATTTTGGTTAGATATTCGTTGAGAAATCTTCGCTTAAAGTTGAAAAAAAGAAATTTTACTATGGCTTTTTGATTTTTTCAACTTTAAACGAAATTTTCTCAACGACTATCTAACTAAATTCGATAAATTTTTTTTATTTTAATTCTATTAACTTATAGAATTAAAATAAAATAAAAAATTCGCTGAAATTAGTTAATATTCATCGAGAAATATTGGCTTAAAATTTTAAAAAACCTCTGTTTGCATTTTTTGTAATTATAGAGGTGATATAGATTCTAATTGGTTAATCGAAATTAAAATATACTCTAATCCTGTGATCATGTGATAAATTCTGACGCGTGACGTAAACAAAATATGCATTATAAATAAATGCACTGCATTTTAGTCACTTATTTAACTTTCGCTATCAATATGGATGTTTATTCGCTTATTAACCACGATCAATGTAAACCGTCTAATTCTCCCCCTCCACGAACTTATCAACCTTCGACATCACAGGAACAAGTTAATTGTATACCCGAATTCTCTTCATTCGAACATCAAAAGGAAAATATTTTACCTTTAAAACAAGGTCGAAGTAGTGCTTCTTTGTCTCGAGTTTTCTCTGGTGATCCTTATTCTCTCGAAATTGACTTACAAGCTGGTCATGCTCAATTCAAGGCAGAGCTTGAAAATCTCAATGAACTTGACGATCCTTTTGATGTTTATCATCGTTACATAAAATGGACGATTGAAAATTATCCCCAAGGCCAAACCCCTCAGTCAAATTTAATCCAACTTTTGGAACGCGCTTCTCTAAGTTTTGTCAATGATTCGCGTTATAAAAGTGACCCAAGATATCTGAGATGCTGGTTGCAATATGCAAGTTTTGTTGGAAAAACAAATCAACTATTTGATTTCTTGAAGACCAACGAAATTGGCCTTAATTTAGCTGCTTATTATGAGGAATATGCTGAACTACTGGAGAGTATGGAAAGGTGATTATCTTTATTAAAAAAAAGAACAGTAGAGCGCAATTCAAATTTCTTGGAAATGGGTCAGAATTATACATTTAGTCAATTGACGAGTGCTGGCCGATAACCTTAAATGGTCCATATTATCTTTATAATCTATCATAGATCAATCTGGTCATTTGGTCATAACGAAAATTACATTATCTTTTAATATAATAAGAATCCTCGTAAAAAAAAACAAACTTTTCATTAGTATTTAATATGACTATGATCAAGATCATACAGTATCAAAAAATGGTATGACTTAGGTCATTGATCAACACTATATTGAACAGTATTAGTGTTGAATCAATTGGTGGTTAAAATTAGAGTCAATGTTATATACAAAATTTCATTCTTGACATTTTTATTACTTCAGATAAACTTGGACTGCTATCTTTTTTGTTATCTGAACGTTCTTAATAATTCTGCTTAATTCTGTATAATTTCGGCCCGTTTCCAGTGAATTAGATTTCATTAACAAAATCAATTTTTATATGTTTTTTATTTTTTATTAATCAACTTTTATAATATTTTTATAGATATCATGATGCGGAAGAAATATTTATATCAGGAATTAATAAAAAAGCTCAACCACTAGAACGTCTTATTCGTCGATACAGACAATTTAAAGCGCGTTTAAATTTATCCCGCCAGGGAAATATACATGATTTAGAATTATCCCAAAATGTTCCTCATATTGATAATTCACATCGAACAATTCTTGGTATAAAAACTTCTGCTTCATCGGCACAATCAGTTCCGTTAAACGTCTTTAATCAAAGAAATTCTACACTTCCAAGTATCGCTGGATTAACTACTTATCAACATGACCATTTTGACAGGAATAATGAGAAATTTTCTGTATTTCATGACCCAAATGGTGAATTAGGGAATGCTGCATTAGTATTAGCGGGAAATAATTCTTCATGGAATAATTATGGGACAGAGATTGCTAATAAAAAAGAAAATATTAGAGATGCCGAAACATGGAAAGGAGTAACGTTACCTCAAGCCAAAAAGCCATGTGTGCCAACTACTTCAAAATTAAAGATTTATCATGATGAACTTCGGAATGAGAAATCATTTGTAGATCTTAATACTATTTATGTTGATGGGAATGAATTTTCTTTTGAAGAGCTTCGAGCAATGGCCTTAAAACGGCAATCAACAATTCCCTGCAATTACGATAATAGAATGTGTGTGGATAACGACGAAAATAATATTAATAAATTAGTATCTATGGATCAAAATTTGAAAAACGAATCTGATTTAAAAAATAATCGTTCCTCAATTTTACTTCCTATAAAAGATGCTATCATTCGTCGATCAAACGTCAATGTAGCAAATGAAGCCAGAGAATATAATCAACCTATTCCTGTGTCAAGTGCAAATTATAATATTAGAGAACATAATCAATATATTCCCGATTCAAGATCAATTCATGAAGTCGGTGAATATAATCAACCTATTCCTGTTTCAAGTGCAAATTATAATATTAGAGAATACAATCAATCTATTCCCGAGTCAAGATCAACTCATGAAGTCGGTGAATATAATCAACCTATTTCTGTGTCAAGTGCAAATTATAATATTAGAGAACACAATCAATCTATTCCCGAGTCAAG